GGATGGTAAGTGCTAAGGGCTTCTGGGAGAGCCAGCCTGATGTTACGGAAGTAACTGGTAAGTTAATGTTTTCTGAAGTTGATGGAGTTCTCTCTGAATATTTTTTATATGTTAACATGGTATTTATTGAGAGAGTTGGAAGCACACAAACTATTTATAAAGAAGTACTTGCATTTTACAACTGACAGATTGCTTTATTCAGAATTATTCATAACAGGCTTTTTTTTTTTGGTGTTCAAGAGACATTCGACTTTGTCAGTTTTGAAAATTTGTTATTTCTGGTATGTTTAGATGGTGGCTTTTCAAAAACTGTAAAATATTACAATTGGCCTTGCTGCGTTCTGTTTGCTTCCCAGTTTCCCATGAAACAGACAAGTTCAACATCTGGCTTTCTTCTTTCTAAGGACTCTGGCAAAAAAAACAACAAAGATTAGACTTTACACTTGACGGATCATGCGGTTGGGATAGTTTCATCCAAAGTTGAGTCCGGAGCGGAGTGAAGCTGCGGCGGCAGAACTGCTCTGTGTAATGTTACAGAGGAGCCACACGGGAGGATCCCTTTTATGGAAGGGCGTTCTTGAGATGCATGCAATAGCCCATTCTGAGCGGAGATGCACCAAGGCTGTGTTGAGACACCAGGAGGACAAGATCTGCACTGTGCTTCCTTCCTCTTGTCAGCCCAGAACCTTGTTGGCTGTTCACGGCAGTTCTTCTTTTTTAACTTCATTTTTCAAGGTCAAATCCTTGGATTCTGAATTTGAAAATCCCTTTCCCAGCTTGAAAGTCATTTATTCTTAGGGCTGGAAGGGACCTTGATAATTATCTTTTTTTTTTTTTTGGCTGTTTTTTTTTTTTTTTCCCCCTGAGGGAGTTACTGGGGATTGAGTCACATCCCCAGCCTTATTTTGTATTTTATTTAGAGACAGGGTCTCACTGAGTTGCTTAGCACCTTATTAAGTTGCTGAGGCTGGCTTTGAACCTGCGATACTCCTGCCTTAGCCTCCTGAGCCACTGAGATTACAAGTGTGCACCTCTGTGCCGGGCATCTCTAGCACTTTTGCAGTTGGGATTTTTCTTATCTGGAAGGAGAGGTGAAGCAGTGTGGCCACGGTCATCCAGCTGGCTCAATACTGACCTCTCTGCCCCAGTTGGACTCCCTTTTCGGAATAGTGGGGATGGCAGCCTCTCTCCTCCATTTATTGTGTTGTTTATCAGAAGTTAAGAGTCTTCTTTCACTTGATAAAGCCTCTTGGAAATAATTTGGCTTATTGGAAGGAAGCAAACACATGCTTTTCTCTGAAAACTTATTTTTGTTTCTTTGCAAATGGGTTTTCGTTCTAGCCCAGTGTGATTCCCCTTTATTCTAAGAGCACTCTCACAGCACAGCATGACATCTCTCTAATGGCTGAGCTCGGCAAAACCCCACATGCTCTGGAGCAGGGCACCTTCTCTCCAAGTCAGGAGATGCTAGAAACTGGCCAGCACCACAGCTGGGATTTTAGGGTGGGGGATGATAGAAGTTTCCGAGAAGCAGCAGTGGATTCAAATGGACTTTCAATAGGATCCTCTTGATTCTTTAAATTAAGACTCTCATACCTCTGTTGGTCCTAGGAATGAGCACACCATAACTCCTGGTCCATGGTGGGCACGTGATGCTTGGAGTACTGGCCAAGTTAAGGGAGAGAATGGGAGATTTTAAAAGGTGTTGTGAGATGAGGAAACGACCCACGTGGTGCTTACCATTAACTCTCTTGGATTGATAAGAAAGGATTCAGGAATTCTTTTCTTAGGAACTGAAATGTCAATGAGGTCCATGCTTTAATTTAACATGGCATAATCATTCTGGCCTGGGTGTGAGTGCAGGGATGGTGAGTACTTCTCCAGGTCTTTGTGATGTCCATTCTCTGACCCATGAAGGGCCTGGCTTAGAGTCAAAAGTCTTTCCCCTCCTCACTTCTGCTGGAAACTTTTTTTCTAAGGCAGCAAACACAGACTGATCCACTTCTGGAAAAGCGAAGGGATGATGAGGGAGAAACATCAATTAGTAGCTCCCAGCAGAATCCCACATTTGTAAGAGCTCCGTTAAAGCAAAGCAGGGACTGTTGAGTGAACAGGTGGGAGCTGTTTCCGAGAGCAGAGAGTGAGAGCTGCTCTCTGACCTAAGCACACTCAATAAGGAGGAGCTGTATCCTGGTGGATGTTGCTCAGATCTTGGGAATAAATATTCAGAAATTTCTTCTTGCCACAGCAAAGCTTAATTCTTTTTTCCCCAAATTTTATTGGTGTATTATAGTTGTTCAAAATGGTGGGATGTATTGTTATGTATTAGTTGATGCACGTAGTATAACAATATGGACTTTCAGTAGGATCTTCTTGATTCTTTAAGACTCTCATACCTCTGTTGGTCCTAGGAATGAGCACTCCATAACTCCTGCTTTTTAACATGGAATAATCATTCTGGCCTGGGTGTGAGTGCAGGTATATATATTGCTGGTATCACTCCCCAGCACTCCCCCCTTGCCCTCCTCCTCCCCCTGCCTTACCTCCGTTCTCCTGATTTCCCTTTGATTTTCATGAGGTCCCTCCTCCCCGCCTTTATTTTTTTTTTTTCCCTCTAGCTTCCACATTTAGAAAAAACCTACAACCCTTGACCTTCTGAGCTTGGCTTATTTTACTTAACAGAATATTCTCAAGTTTTATCCATCTTCTTGCAAGTGACATACTTTGGCTGAATAAATCCTCATTGTGTATCTATTCTACATATTCTTTATCCTTTTATTCATCGGTGGAGAACTGGGCTGGTCCACGGTTTGGCTATTGTGAATTGTAACCAAAGTTGGATTCTGCATCAGAACACTCACGGGAATCGGAGCTCCAGGACAGCCCAGGGACTCCGTGGGTTGCATGTTCTCTGTTCATCCTTTCAAACCCAATCTGTTCCTTCCCACACTGTTCTGGGTCCTGGGAGGCTTATCTCCTTGAACTACACCAATGGGCCTCTCTGTCCTTTGGTTTCTGTTTTGATTTGGCCCATGGTGGGCACCCATGTCACCACCCCATAGTGATTTCCTTAACCTTGCTCATTCCTTCTAAATAGTCCCCTTCATTAAAGTTCACTCATGAGTATATCATCTCTTTCCTGCTGCCACCCTGAACGAATGCATCATCCAGTCCTATATGTCCATTTTACGAATGAGGAAACAGAGTCACAGAGAGGTCTATTGGCTTTTCTTTCTCCTTTTACTCCTTATTTTTAAACTACTTTTCAGTCTTTAAAACCAAGCCCATGAGGTCTTGAAATGCTGGATTGGGGATTAGGAAACTTCTGGCACTTTGGCTTTCTGTTCTAATGTGATGATAGGTTTGTGAGAAACTTAAATTTACCAAAAAACTGTGCCTTTAAACATTTTTAATAGGACAAAAAAATAGTTAGGAGAGACTCCTCAGGGAGACTGCTGTCCTCCATTGGGTAGTGGGAAGTCAGAAATGCCTTCTTCCTCTGGATAGGAAGCACCAGGGCCAGGGATTGGCTACAGGAATGTGAGCTGATTTGTCCCCCACCCAATATGTGAGGAATAAAAATTTGTGGTCATGCCTCTAACCACATGTGAGTGAATATGGTCTGTGTGTGGGGGGCGGGGGAGGGAACTTGCATTCTTCTTTTGTTAACTTTGCAAAGGTCTCTGTAGTCTCTGTAGTAGCAGTGCCTGTTCTTATGTGAAATTACTGTTCTGTTTGTATGAAGTAAAGCCCCTGATGGTTTCTGTCAGTGATGCATAGGATGATTGAGAAAGAAATGTGGGTCTTAGGCTGAAATCAAATTGTTGACACATATTACTAAGATTTTCTTGCCAACATCAATACTTGTTCAAAGACGTCATGTACTTAGGAAAAAGTCCCAAAGACAATCCTTGAGCCTTCTTGTAAGAAATGCCATACCACTTAGACTCTTGGTAGCACAGAGGACAATACTGTGTGGACACCAATTTAAATGGAAATACCTACCCAATTTATTTCACTTATATTTTCATATTTTCCATTTTATAGACAAACTAAAACACCATGTGTAAAAAAAAGCAATAATAAGTATAGCATTAAAAATATCGTCTTAGCCTTCTATCACATTTCAATGGGCTGCTATTTTCTTCTTTGTGTATATAATACATTGCTTCTGATCAGTGAATCATAACAATGAAATATGGTATTGAAGTGAGACACCTATGAAATTGATAGTATGAATCAAACAATGAGTTGGGAAGCTAAGGATTTACTCAATGAGGACTTCAGTGTCTTCTGGGAGACTACTGCTGGGCTAGGCATGGAGGGTACAGCTGAGAACAGAGATGATTCCTTGTCACAGGGGAGACCAGAGAGTAAACTCGTTGTAGGTATGGTGTTACAGAAGGAAAAGTACAGCTTTCTAGGGCGTGTTCATGGGGAGTCCAACAGTCAAGGGCAGCAGCTGGACTTTTAGGTGGAAATCAGAAGGATGCATGGGAGTGAGCCCGGTGGAAGGGATTTGGGAAGCAGGAAGGACAGGGCTGTCAGAGTGAGAAGTGCATGCGACAGCAGGGAGGTGCAGGAGTAGGGAGCTCAAGGACCACCAGAGCAGCAGGAGCCCAGAGAGGTACAGGAATGAATGACAAGGACATGAAGTGGAGGCAGGGCCCTCTAACCATGGCCAGGAGTCTGTCCTTCATGGAAGGGGTCAGGGGAAATTGTGGAAGGGGTTTCAGGAGAAGAGTGTCCTGCTCAAGTTTTAGAATTATCACCCAGGCTGTGGCAAAAATGAAGTGCTGTAGATCCCAGGCAGATGAGGACCACGGCAGGGTCACACTCCACGCATTAGAGGGCTAGAGGATGGGATGGAAGAAAGTGTCAGATGATGCCCAGGAATCCTAGAGCAGGTGACAGTCCCACCACGGGTTGCGGTCTTCAGATAGTAAGTATATCCTCAGTTCTTGATAATCTAAAATAATGATTTTCTTTGTTTTTGACAGAGTGACATCTGACTTGAGCCTTCGGTGTGCTGTGGGAGATCCGCCACCAGGTAAATACAGAACAAGTGTTTCTCAGATTTAAAAGCCATACTTTTTTTTCCTGCCTCCCTAAGACCTAAATGTAATGTTATATTTAACCCTTTTCATACTCATATGAGTTAGTTGCTGTGTTAGGTGTATCCTATCCGTGAGGAATCAGAGGCATTAAGAAGTTAGGCAATTTGATGAACACGCACAAAGATATTCATTCCACCCTGAATTATAACAACAAAATAAAAAGAAAGGGAATCCAAATATTCAACAAAATAAGAAGAAAGGGAATCCAAATATTGAACACTAGCCAAAGTGTAATAAATTAGTGATGGTACACTCATTTGATGGAGGTGTTTTGATAACATTCTATATCAGATTAAGAAGTTTCTCTTTGCTGGGGGTGGCTCACACCTGTGATCCCAGTGGTTCCGGAAGCTCAGACAGGAGGATTAAAGTTCAAGGCCAGCCTCAGCAATTTAGAGAGGACCTAAGCAACTTAGCAAGATCCTGTCTCAAAATAAAAGTTAAAAGGGGCTAGGGATGTGGCTCAGTGGTAAAGCACGCCTGAATTTAATCGCTGGTACAAAAAAAGAAGTTTCTCTTTTATTCCTAGCTTACTAAATTTTATTAAATGTTTTTCTGTATTTACTGGGATGACCAAATGACTTATATTCTTTCATCTGTTAAGTGTGATTTTTTTTTATATTTAAGGATTTTTAAAAAAAATGAATCTAACTTGTAATGATGAGATAAAACCAACTTGGTCATAATATATTATTTTTCTATATTTAGCTATATGTTTATATGTAGTTTGCTAAACTGTATTCATAAGTGAGATTGAATAAAAAATTTCTTTCTAGTATTTTCTTTATCAGAATTGATTTTAAAATATTGGAATTACTTGCTATTTGAATGTATGGTGGAACTTGACAGTAAAACTGGGTCTGATATTCTCACCTATGGATCGAGTTTATGACTTTTTTGGTATTTTTTCTCGAGTCAGTTTTGTTGTTACACTTTTGGTTACAGGTGCATGTTTTTTGGCTACATGTGCAAGAGGGGAGTTTCTGGGACTTAGGATCCATGGTCTTCTTTAGAAGATACTATCAGTTTTCTGAGATGGTTGGATCAGTTTCAAAATTTATACTCCAACCAGGAGTACATGAGTGTTCTAATTTCTCCATGTTCTTTCCAATACAAGATATTTTCTGTTTTTATTTATTTATTTACTTTCATTGAAATGCTTCCTGTGGGTATTTTGTATTGTAACATTCAATTTTTAATTTGCATTTCCTTATAGACTAATGTGGCTGCGAATCTTTTCATAGATGAATTGACTACTGGATATCTTGTTTTGTGAAAAGCACTTTCAAATGTTTTAAAAAATGTGAAAAAATTGAGTTGCCTTTCTTATTAAATTATATTTTTTATTATAGACATTTTAAATGACATGTATTCTGGACATAAGGCCTTGGTAGGACTAGGACACACACACACACACACACACACACACACACACAGTACAAATATCTTCTCTTTTTTTGATTTCCCTTTTTACTCTATTTCTAAGGAATGAAAATTCCTTTAAAATAGTGTCAAGGATCAATTTTTTCCTTTGTAGTTAGATTAAGAAATCTTGGCCTTATTCCAAGATCACAAAGATATTTTATGCTTTCTTCTGAAAGCTTTGTTATTTTACCCTTACATTTTAATCTAGAGTCATGTAGACTCTATTTCATTATACATAGTCTGAGATAGAGAGTCGAGATTAATTTTTTTTTCCTATGTGGGTAGCTAGTGAACCAAGTCCATTCTTTTGCCAAGGCATTATTTATCATATTCATTTATTTTGGTTAGTTTTTCTGAATTTTAATTAACACCCAGTAAAATTTACTCTCTTAAAAGACAAGATTTGGAAAGTTTCAACAAATATATACAGTGGTGCAACTCCCACCACAGTTAAGATGTAGATTATGCCCAACACCCCAAAGAGTGGTCCTTAGTGCTCAATCCATTCTCCCTAGCTTCAGCTGATTTGTCCCTCCATTTTTCCTTTTTAGTCCCCAGAATATATAAGTGGAATTGTGTAGTACATAGTTTTTCATTTCTTCCACTTGGCATACATTTGTTGAGATTCATCCATGTTGTGGTAAATACCAGTAGTTTGTTCCTTTATTCTTGAGTACAATTCTATTGTGTGATGAACCATGGTTCACTTATCCCTTCACCAATTAATAAATGTTCGGGTTACTTACAGAGTTTGGCTACTGTGGAGAAAGCTGCTATAAATATTCATGAACAGGCCTCTGTGCGGACATGCATTTCTCTGAAACTCAGAAACAGACATACCTCTTCTTCTAATCAACCCTTTACTAGGAATGGATTTATTGCATCACGTTGGAACTGTAGTGAGGACATGTTTAATTAACATTATTTAAAAAATATCGCCAAAACTGTTCTCATAGTGACCATGACATTTTACATTCCAATCAGCAGTATATGAAAGCTTTGGTTCCTCCAGACTCTCTAGACCTTGGAATTATGAGTCTTTGTAATTTTAGAAATTAGAATTAGTTTGCAATGTTATCCCATTGTAGTTCCAGTTTTACATAAAATGGTGTTGAGCATCTTGGGGAAGTGTTTTTTTCAAATCATTCACCTGTTTTCAAAATTATACATCTTCATATTATGAAGCTACTACAGGATGTATTTTGTATACAAACCCGTTATTAAATATGTGCTTTGCAAATATCTTTTCTCAGTCTCCAACTTGTTTGTTCATGTTATAAAAAGTGTTATTCAAAGAGCAGTAATCTAAAAAATTTGAAGTTCAATTTACAGTTTTTTTTCTTCTATGGAGGAATAGTTTTGTGTCCTAAGAAATTCTTGCTATACCGAGGATATAAAGATTTTATTTATTTTAGAAATTGTACACATATTTGATAAAGGGTTTGTATACAAAACACACCCCATAGTAGTTTCATAATATGAAGGCATTTAATTATAAAAACAGGTGCATGATTTGAAAAAAACATTTCCCCAAGATGCTCAATTTTACACCATTTTGTGTAAAATTGAAACTATAATGAGATAACATTAAAAACTAATTCTTATTGCTAAAATTACAAAGACTCATAATTCCAAGTGCAAGAGAGGCTAAGGGGGAACTAAAGTTTTCATATGCTGCTGAAATTTTAGAAATTTTAGAAATGTTAAGTTGTACAGTTATTTGGTTCATTTTTGAGGTAAGTTTGTATCTTGACTGAGGAAAGGTCAAAGTTCACATTATTCCTGTTATATGAATCATTTAGTTACTCATGTTATATGAATGACTAAATTTTCTAGTACTACATGCTAACAAAAACCTGTCCTTTTCCTCTTTTAATCACTTTTCACCTCTCTCTTTCTCTCCTTCCTTTGGAACTCTAATAACATGCGTATATCACTATGTACAGCCTGGTCCTATACTAACAGTGCTCTCTCTCTCTCTCTCTCTCTCTCTCTCTCTCTCTCTCTCTCTCTCTCTCTCTCTCTAAATTCTCCTTTCCCTTTGGATTTCAGTTGGGAAAATTTCTATTGACTGTCTTTCAGTTTACTGACTCCTTTCTTAACTGTTCCTGCCTACTGATCAGACTGTCAAAGAAATTCTTCACTTCCAATGTTGCCTTTTTACTTCTAGAATTTATATTTGATTCTTTCCTATAGTTTTCCTCTGTCTACTGAGACTCTTCATCTTTTCTTGCAATTTATCATTTTTCTTTTCTCTGTGAGAGTCTTTAACATGTTAATCATAGATATTTTAAAGTCTCGATTCTTTCAATATCTGGGACATCTCTCTATCCAGTTCTGTTGATTGCTTGATCTTGACAATGAGTTGTTTTTTATTTTCCTTGTTTTTTGAGTATCTTGTAATTTTAATTAAATGTCAGGCAGTGTTTATAGAAGAACACTGGTTTAAAAAAATTGTTATTTTTAGTTATACATGACAGCAGAATGTATTTTGACATATCATATATACATGAAGTATAACTTGTGATTGAACATGATATGGAGTTACACTACTTGTGTATTTTCTATATATGAATATAGGAAAGTTATGTCTGGTTCATTCTAAAGTCTTTCCCATTCCTATCCTCCCTCTATTCACCTGTTAAATCTGGTGAACCTCCACTCTTCTCCTATCCTACCCATCTATTATGAGTAAGCATCTGCATATCAGAAAGAACATTTGGCCTTTGATTTTTTGGAATTGACTTATTTCACTTAGCAGGATAGCCTTGGTTCCATCCATTTCTTGGTAAATGCCATAATTTCATTCTTCTTTCTGTCTGAGTAATATTCCATTGTGTATAAGTGCCACATTTTCTTTATCTAATCATCTATTGAAAGGCACCTAGGTTGGTTTTATAGCTTAACTATTGTGAATTGAGCTGCTATAAACATTGATGTGGAAGCATCACTATAGTATGCTGATTTTAAGGGTATATACTGAGGAGTAGGATAACTGGGTCAAATGGTGGTTCCATTCTAAATTTTCCATACTGCTTTCCAGAGTGGCTGCACCAATTTGCATTCCCACCAGCAATGTATGAGTGTACCTTTTCCCCCACAACCTCACCAACATTTATTGTTACTTGAATTCTTAATAATTGCCATTCTGACTAGAATGAAACGGAATCTCGGTGTAGTTTTAATTTACATTTCTCTAATTGCTAGAAATGTTGAACATTTCTTCATATATTTGTTGATCTATCCTATTACTTCTTCTGTGAAGTGTCTGTTCAGCACCTTTGCTCATTTATTGATTGGGTTATTTGTTTTTTTGGTGTTACAGTTTTTTGAGTTCTTTATATATCCTAGAGATTAAGGCTGTATATGAGGTGCAGGTGGCAAAGATTTTCTCCCATTCTGTAGGCTCTCTCTTCATTGAATACTGGTTAATAAATTAAATAATGAATATATCTGTCCTTCTGTAAGGCTGTTGACAGAGGCTGAGTCAATTTTGTTGGTGTTTGAC